GGTAAACTTTGTCTTTTACGTACTAAGATGATCCTAATACACCAGTTGTCAAATCAATTTATTTTTCCATTAATTGTAACTCTCTTCTGGCAGGTGTATGGCACATGAATGTCTGGGTAAAGGGAGGAAACTCCACCTAGGCAGTGGCTGCCAAAGATAGATGGAGGAGAAGGGAGGGAGAGAGGAGAAAGATGGGAAGGAAAGGAAGCAAGAAACAGAAACAGAGAAAATTAGAATTTCCAGATCATTAGAAACTCCTTACATGGACATTAAAGCTTTTCTCCAGTCCCAAGGCCCTAAAAGGCCTCATATCTTTATGTACAATGAGCATTATTTCTCCAAGATCCATGGCAGTGATTTTCAACTAGACCCTGAACATGTAAACAAAGGCTCATTTATTGGTCTAAATCCTCCATTACTAAAGATATATACAGGATAAAATCAAAAGAGATGTTAATTTTGAACAATAGCATACTCAAAGAAAATCTACAATATCAGTTCATTTTAACTATAAAGCCACTTAGTAGCACACATATCTTTAGGAGTGGGGGAGTCTTAACATTCAACACTCATTCTGACTCCACTCCTAAATAAGCAATGTATAGAGTTCTTTGTGATTTTCAAAGATTGCATGTTACCAAGAATAAAAGGCTGATAGTTTAAATCACTTTCTATAGACTCACAGTTTTAGATAAATATATATATATCCGATAAAATAAATACAAAATAGAGTATGCCTTTGTCCAAATAACTACTTATAACATTACAGAAAAAGTACTTCATTGGAGATATTTTGATGACAGTATCACTGGTAACTTAATATCCCTACTGTTATGCTTTCAATGAGGTGTTCCCCAAAAGCTCATTTGTAAGACGATGAAATGAAATTCAGAGGTGAAATGATTGGGTTACAGGAGCCTTAACCTAATCAGAGCATTAATCCCCTATAGGGATTAAATGGGGCAACTGTAGGCATGTAGGGTATGGCTGAAGGAGGTAGATCAATGAAGTCGCACCTTGGGGTTCATATTTTATCCATGGTAAGGGGTGCTGTCTCTCTCTGCTTCCGGGTTCCATGTCCTGAGCTGCTTTCTCCCACTACACTCTTCTGCCATGATGTACTGCCTCACCTTAAGTCCAGACCAATGGAGCCAACCATCTAGGGATTGAGACCTCTGAAACTGTGAGCCCCCAAACAAACTTCCTTTTAAATTCTTTTAAAATAAAATATATAAACAAACTGAAGGCAAAAGCACCATTTAAGAAAAAAATCTATACATATTTAGAATGAAAGCTGACCTTGGCAACATTTCTTTCATCTTGTTTCCATTACTTGAGATATAATCCACATACCACACAATCCACCTATTTGTCAAAAAGCCCCTAAATTATACATTTCAATCACAGGATGGTATAGTTATTGATCAATTTTAGGAAATTTTTATCACCCCCAAAATAAACTTATCATCAGCTTCCATTATCTATTCCACTCAACCTTTAGCAAGCACTAATCTGCTTTTTTTTAAGATATAGATCCAACTTTTTATATAAATGGAATTATACTATATGTGGTGTATTGTGACTGGCTTCTTTCACTTAGCCTATTGTTTTCAAGATTCACCTGTGTTGAGCATGTATCACTACTTCCTTCATTGCCAGGTAACATTCCATTGAAAGGATATATCACATTCTATTTGTTCATTTATCAATTGATAGTTATTTGGGCTTTTTATAATTTCTGATTATTATGCATAATGCCACTATGAATATTTATGTAGTTTACTTCTTTGGGGTGTATACCCAGATGTGGAATTGCTGATACCTATGGTAAAAATAGCCAATGAGTTCACCATGCCTTCTTCCCCCAATTTTTATTATTGAAAATTCCTGTCAGCTCTAGTCTGGTTGACATTTTCCAAAAGCAACTGTAATATGAAATACAAGTGATTTTCCCCACACATCAATTCTAGCACTAGTGTTAAACCAAAACTTTTGAGATAGAAGATTCACTGAACTAAATGGGTTTATTGAGTTGTTACAAATGCTAGTCAGAAAGGACCAGGTCCTGGCACAAGTAGTTTATACTAACACTTGGCTCGCTATAGGAGAAATGGAAGGGCAATCCTTCAGACACAATTGTTGCTTCTATATTGTTTGAGATTCCAAGCAAGATGTATTGGGGTCTGGGCCTTGAGATGAGATTTAAGATTTTAACATACATTCAAGAACGTAAAATTTTATTTGTTCTTGGCTCCCTGATTAATAACAGATTAGCCTTTGATCCTTGTAATTAAATGTAGAGCATCTTAGAATTTTCCTCAGTTAGATCCCACAGATTTAGGGTTCAGTCCTACAAGACTGCTCACACTTCCAGTACCAACTGCAATGCCCAGGTTATTTTACCTCTCTGACCTATTATTGTCTATGAATCACTTCCCATAACCCCTCAAATTTGATCAATTTGCTTGAGCGGTTCACAGGACTCAGGAAACACATATAAACTAGTGAACAACTAATGTATTTAAAATTTTTTAAAAAATATATTTTAAAGGATATAAACAAAGCTCCAGATAGAGACACACAGGGTGAGTGAAGTCTGGAAAGGTTCCTAGTATAGGAACTTCTGTCCCCATGGAGTTGGGGTGAATTACTCTCCCTACATGTAAATGTTTTTGTTTACTTTCCTGGAATCTCTCATGTGTTGGGCTATCTGAAAGCTCTCCAGATTTGTCCATGTGGGGTTTTACGGAGGCTTCACTACACAGGCATGACCAAGTCACTGCCACTCATGATCCACTTGACCTTTAACACTTTTTGGAAGTTAGAGGTCGGGGTTCAAAGTCCCAATGCTCTAATTAAATCCTCTGACCATGGCTTTACCCTCACAGTGACCAGCCACCCCACCCCTCATTCAACTCATTTGTAAATAAAAGATGCTTATCATTTTGGAGATTCCAAGGATTTTAGGAGTTATGTGCTAGGCAATGGCACAGAAGATCAACTACATATTTCCCAATCAAAATATTTTAAATATGCATTTTATTGTATGTTGTGTTGGTCAATCCACACTCAGACACTGCAGAAGTGAAAAAGGACTTTATTTGGGGAGAGGGAATCTTTTATAAATTGTAATTTGGAATACACAGATTCAGATGGCTGTGAATCAGTGCTCCAATGAAGGCAGGAAAAGTGGGAGCTAATAAGGGTTACTGTATGTTGAGAAAAAACAGTGACAGGACTGATAGAAGATAAAGAAAGTACAAACAGAATGCAAATGTCCATAAACAAGAGTACTTAGACCCCTTGGTATGCATCTTGAATTGCTATGCACAATTTAACTGTCCAGTGGTTCAGATGCCTGTGGTCAAAGGCTGAAACTGTGCACAAACCCTGCTTCTTAAATGCAATCCTGTCTCCATTTTGTGAAATCTTTCAATGTTTCTTTCATTGAAATTTTCTTTTATTTTCAGTCAATTCCTCAATAATGCTGTTAAAAATGGCTACTTTTTTAAAAAAAGAATTTACCAGAAATTTTCTATTACCATAACCACATTGTTTCATTATATTTCTTTTTATTAATAATTTTTCTTGTAGTGAATAGCATTTCAGTGCTCATTTCCTATATCTGGGGACAGTGACATCCATTCTTTATTTCAGAAGCTAGACTATAATTTATAATTTCATTTGTGTATTACTATCTCCACTCTTTGGCACCAGGTACGGAGAGTATTATTTAAATATAAGCCAGTGGGTACTTTCCAAAAGTAAAATCTCTACCATGTAGTTGGCTCATAAAAGGGAACCTACTCATTAAGAACCAATCATTCACAATGAGCTTTTGCTATGATTTCTGGGACAAAGGTTTCCTATTCGATATAAGAATGCAGGGATGTAACAACCATATTTCTCATTATAGTGAGGCAAGAACTTATTAAAATATGGAGCAAACACGTACAGAGCTAGGTGGCTGTGAGTGAAAATTGATCACTAACGTATCAATGATTAAACTCATAGCTATTATTGAAATTTTGGCAATATAAGACATTAATTTCTCTCTTTTGCCTAAGTTAATTTAGGTCTGTTTCCCATTATTTGTATTAAGAGGCCTAATTACATAGTGGGGGAAGATATAATAACTAAACTCTCCATAATGAGACTTTATTTTAGATTTTCACATTTGAGTTTATGGATTAGGGAATATTACTTTCACTTAATAGTTTAGTAACTCCTCAAAACTGTATATTTATGAGAAGAAACTTGAAAGCAACTTCTTTGGTATCAGGGAGAAGACAAAAGTAAATTTATGTAATCTTTCAATCTAGAAACCATATTTTCTGACTTTGACATTTTCCATATACCCAAGCTACAAATCTTTTATTTTAAATTGGGGCAAAAATCAGTAATATATTTTAAACCCATTTAAATTTCTCTCTAGGAAACTGCATTCTGAGAGGGGATTAAGAACATGTAAGCAATTCCCATCTTTTCCCTTCTCTTCTGTTAAGCCTATTTTTTTCTTCTTTCATTAAAAACCAATTCAGTGAAATACTTGCTCAGATTGACAAAAGATAAGTTAGGAACAACTATTTTCTATCTTACCTCTTTTTATCTTCATTTTCTGCTTTTTAGAGTAAAGTCTTATTAAGAAAAACTCCAGATAACTAAAAACTAAAAGAAACCCAGGGAGCTGGGCACAGGTTGAGGCAGGATGATCTAAGCCAGCCTCAGCAATTTAGTAAGGCCCTAAGCCACTCAGTAAGACCCTGTCTCTAAAAACAAAACTAAAAAAGGTCTGGGGATGTGAGTCAATGGTTAAGGGCCCCTGAATTCAATCCCTGGTACCAAAACAACAACAACAAAAGGGGGGGGGGGGAGGGGGGGGGTGGGAGGAACAAAAGAAATCTAGGGAAATAAAACTGAAAATCATGGTGAAAAAAATTAATGTACAAACAGAATTATTTTGTTTAAGCTGTTAGAAAAATAATGACAATAAATTCTTATTATTTTTCTAACAATGAGAATTTATTGTCCTTAGTCCTTGTTTGTAAACTACTACATTAATGGCTCTATTGAATCATACTTCCTGCTGTCTATGTCCTTATACAGTCCTCTCTGACACTGATTCTAGACTTGGCCATGTGACTTGCAAATATGAAGAAACTACAGACATGCTATTGCATATTGAAGCTTGCCCTCTTCAAACATTTGTTCTGTTGTGGGATGCAGCCCAGTTTAGCATACTAAAAGTTGAGAGGCCATGCAGAGCATAGCCAGTCAACTTACAGTACAGTGAAAAGTCATAAATCTTATTTTAAATCACTGGGTTTTGGGGTACTTTCTTATGCAACAATGGATAACATGGTAGTTAACCTTATCTAGGTGGCAGAGCAAAACAATTAAAAATTAAATAAAGCTATGCTTCATCTGAAAGACAACCAAGATCTCTGAGCAACTTTAAGACTATTCAACCTGCTATACTTCCTGCTTTGCATAGACTCAGATATTTAGTCCATTTAAATAAGTATTTACAATACTCAACATTTCAACTGTTAACCTAAACATTCTACAGACGTACCAACCTAATCAATGAAAAGTACATGATATATATTTTTATTTTAAACACTGAATTACACGTTTCATTTATAAAATATGAGATTCTAGCTTGTTTTTGAAAAATAATTATACTTGCCAATACTACATTTTTTTTACAGAAGCCAATGTTTCTAAATCTGCAGTTTCATTCCATAGTTTTTACAGTATCATAATCTTTTAAATACATTTCTAATATCCTTTAAAATATAAAAAATCCATATGAGATATTTTTAACACATTAAAACTTAACAGGTTACGGTATAACTACCCAGTCCTTTAGTCACTGCTGAATACTTTCCTAGTACAGAGAAGTCAACATGTTGGAGAAATTAATTCTCTGTATTTACTTTTATTAAAAAGAGGTTTTTGGTAGTGAGAACAAATAATCTCTCATTTGTTGCCTGAAAGCCTAAAATAGGATCATTGGTTTCTAGGCTAGCTACTTGCTGCTTAGCAACCTGCCCTACATGCCTGCCTTCCTTTCTGTTGTAAAGCACAGTGGACATGGGAGTAGGCTGACGATAGATGAACACTCGACGAAGGCACTCACAAAGGGCTGCATAGGAGTAATTTGGAGCACAGGCAAAAAATTTTTTGTCTCTTTTTGATGCTTGGACATAACCTGCCAAAAATATAAGACAGATAGACAGACAACAAGAACAACAACAACAAAAAAAAAAGTATGTTAAGCGGAAGGGAGAAAATAATGGCTTAACATTGAATATTTTATAACTTCTATTACAAATTAAAATGCCTAAGTAAAATATATACCATAAATATTCAATCATGGTTGAATTCAGAACCATTAGCAATTTACCCACAGTTTCTCCCAACCAGTTCAAAAATACAGCTTTAATTCCTAAGAAACAAAATAGGAATTCACCTCTTCAAGAACAGCACAATATAATTCCATTTAATTTCCATGAATAATTAAAACACTACAAATCTGAAAACTTTTGGCATCTTAATGTTTAAGATCTTTTTTTTTTCCCTAAATATTTATTTTTTAGTTGTAGTTGGACATAATACTGTTATTTATTTTTATGTGGTGCTGAGGATCAAACCCAGGGCCTTGCACTTGCTAGGCAAGTGCTCTACCACTGAGCCACAATCCCAGTCCACCAAAAGATCTTTAAATGCCAGTTTAGTATGTAGGTGGATGAATAACAAATATAGCAGAGTCATTTTTTCTCTTATCAAATAGGAAAAATGTCTGTATAATAAATAATATCATGAAGTTATTTAAGAGGCTGTTCATAATGCATCCCTGAAGGTACTAATTCACAATGCATTCTCCCATGATCCCTACAATGTTTGTGGTATTTTTATACAGTAATATCAAAACTATAACAGGATGTTTTTGTATTTCAGCCCCCAAAAGCAGAACTTTGAAACTACTCAAGCTAAAAAAGACTCAAGTATCTAATAAAAAACTTAATTAGGATATCCTTGAAATTGAACAATCTTAAATCATCTTGAATCATGCACATGTTTTAATAAAAAGTATCTCTTCATATTAAAAGGACCATTTATGTTTTGAAAGATAATCTAGAATTTTCAGATTGGTACATGGTTTTTAAATTTTATAACATGTGCAATAAAAAATGTAACACTAATGAAAACCAAAATCTCAACAAAAAACAATGAGCAAAGCTATGGGGCACAGGAAGATCAATATTGTTTTTGTAAGGTTTGAAGAAGGAAAAGTGAAGAGGACGTAGACTCCTATGTGAGTAATTTAGAATTAGCTGTCCAGACTAATTTTGACAGAATTAGTAATGTAGATTATATCTCAAGAGTACATATCTAATGTACAGTTCATTTAATTTAGACTCCAACATAGATTTCCTCTATAATAGAGGGTTTGGGCATACAAATGGAGGATCTGAGCATCTGAAACATATGACAGAACTCTTCTCTTATTGAAAGAGGAGATTTTTTATAAAATAGGAATGACAATACAGAGGCTAAAAATATATAGCTAAATCTATTAAACTTTGAATTTCAGGTCATAAAAATCTATTTGGTGTCTGAATTAACCAGTTTAGTAGCCTACGTTATTAACTACACCATAAAGGATAACTGACAAATCTATATAGTTAGGGTTGTGCACATTTATCCATTAAAATGAATAATTTTACTTCCTTCTGTCAGTTTAAAACAACCTTTCAATAAAGTCATGGTGGCTAACTAACAAAAAATTTCTCCTACACAATAGTTACTAATGTATTATTACATAAAATAAATGACTGCACACTCCTATAATTAAGTGGCTTAAAAAATTTTAAGTCCTAGTTTTGAAATCAGTATTTTCCCTTTTATTCTACCAAATAAAAGTAATTTCTGCTTAATGCCACTTTTCTAAGTGTTTCCATTAACATGGCCACTTAAGTTCAGTGGAACATGCTGTCTAATGTACATTACCTTAGAGTAATTCTATGCTACTTTTAAAGATTACTATGAAGAAACCTAAATACAAGTTCCCTTGTTCATATTATAATATTGCATAACTTAAAAGAATTAAAATAAGCAAATGACTGATTAGAATGATTCAAATGGTTAGATAACCATTTCCATTTCTATTCTGTTAATCTTTCATACAAGCATAAGAACAGATTATCTCTGTTCTAATAGCATTAACCTTCATCAACTAAAACACAAGTAATACAAGCAACCAATCATACCACAAATCAATCTAAACGTAATTAGGATAGCTCAAATTAAAAAGAAAAAGGCAAATAAACTTAATGATAACTAATTTTTGGTGTAATGGAAAACACTGTCAAAGAGCTTGCTTTATACCTAGAGCATTGAAAGTTGCAATGTGTTCCCACATATCATCTTGTTTGCTGGAGTGTGGTTGCCAGAGTAGGGCGTCAACATCATGGCGCAAACAGAAGCAGGGCATTTCTTTAGGATCTACTACGACAGAGAAAAGGTACTGGTTGCTTCCAAGGTTTACCTAAAGTGACAAAAAAAATAATAATAATTTACTCGATAATAAATTAACAATACTGACAAAACTGAGCATTTTTGTTAGAAACTAAACTTTTTAAAACCTAAAGACTCCTCATATGGTTCCTGAAAGAAATGTGCTACTATTACACTCTTTAAAATCTTATCAACAAGTCATGAAGCTGTTATTATCTTCGTTGAATAGATGAAAGAATAATCTTGGAGAGCTTAAGAAACTTGTTCTTTACAGAAAAATCACAATACTAGAATTCAAACTCAGGTCTGTTTACAAAGTTTTTACTTGAGTGTATTGCTTAATTATAGTATTAAGTCAATAATATTTATTATGTCAATAATTGTTATTGCAGTATTGATGACTAAAGGAATTGATTTTTATACAAAATTGTCAAATTGAGACTCATAATTGGATTCGACCTTCAGGAAACTCACTCTCTTAAAGGAGACAGGCTACCACACAGAGACCACAGATAATTTCTTCTCTACCTTTGCTCCTGATAATCAGTGAATAAGTAAGGTTTATTTTCAAAATTACTACTAGCTAACTGCTCTTTTATGACAGGCTCAATGCTTCAGCTCTGTACCTTCATGCTCATTCTTTCTTGTTCACCAAGGGCTTTCACAGATGAAAAAATAATAATAGAAGTAAAATACAAGTTGAAATAATATTTTCATAAAGGTATATTTATTTTCATAAGCCAAATGAGTATTAACAGTATGAAGTATATAAATGAAATGATTTCTGATCTTCCCATATTTGACTAAACAGCAATGAGAAAAGAACAAGGACCCTGAGCCATCAAATGAAAGGTTAACCACCAAGGGAGATAAACTAGAAAATAAGATGAGGAGGATAAAGGTCTCTTTTTATGAGCCCTTTACTCTGACTGATACTCTTTTTCTTCTGTTCCCATTTACTTATATATACACTTCATATCTGTGATTATGTCAAAAAATTGTTTATCAACAAAGCCAGCAATTTCAGTTTGCCTTTACTTACTGCCCCTTTAACAAGGGTATTCTGACCAGACTCCTCTTGTCTTTTTTTTTTTTTTCTTGATAGAAAAAAAAAAAGACATCAGTTATTCTCAGAATTCTCATGGTTATATGAGCTGCTTGAACTGAAAACTGCCAGATGAATTTTTCTTATCCCCAGCCAGTTATTTATCATATTGCAACATGATATATATCCAGTAATCATTAGATTATTACTATGCATGTATATCATCTGTAGGCTGGATATTATTACCAAAAATATCCACCTCTTAATTCCCTGGAACCTCTGAGTAAGTTTCCCTGCATGGCAAAATGGACTCTGTAGATGTAATTAAACTTAAGATCTTGAGTGGAAAGAATATATGGATGGGCCCAATGTATTAACAAGACTTATAAGAGGAAGGGGAAAAAAATCAACAGACAATTGGAGCAACAAAAGCAAAGAGATTGGAAGATACTACACTGTTGGCTTGGAAGATGGATGTTGGGGCCACAAGCCAGTTAAGGCAGACAGCATCTAGAAATTAGAAAAGGAAAGGAAATGAATTCTCCCCCAGATCTTCCAAAAGGAATACAGTCCTGAAAACATATTTTAGAACTTCTGACATCTGGAATTGTAAGAGATTAAATTTGTGCTGTTTATAGACACTAAACTTGTTACAACAACAGTATCAATCTAATATGACACCCATCTTACAGGACTAAGTATCTTTTTGTATGTATGGTGGAGTACTAGGGATTGAATTCAGGGTCTTAAGTAACGTAGGTAAGTGCTTTACCACTGAGTTATACCCCAGTCCTTTTTAAATTTTTATTTTGAGATAGATTCCTGTTTTAAACTTGGCCACCCTCCTGACTCAGATTCCATTGCAGATGGGATTATTAAAGTTGTGTACACTGCACCCAGCTATAAGCCTAAATAATCTTGAGAACCAAAGTCTGTCTTCTTGTCTCCTTATTCTGAATATTTTTTGAACGAATGTTATATAATCTTTAAGGGAAAAGGCTTATAATTAGGTTCTTAAAGAACTATTCACTGGAGGATTACTAGGGTTTAGGAGCTTGTAGACTTGTCTCCTCTACCCTGCCCCTCAGTACTGGGTATTGGACCCAGGAGAGATCTACCGCAATTACATTCCCAATCCTTTTTATATTTTTGAGACAGTGTCTTGCTAAATTGCCAAGGTTGGCCTTGAACTTGTGATCCTCCTGGTTAAGTCCCCTGAGCCCTGAAATTACAGGTTCCTGGCTAGAAGCTTCCAGACTTAACCAAGTACATAGTTCGGTGTGCTTTTTGGTTCTCACCTCCAGAAATCTTACATTTTTCAATCTTTCCTCTTGGCTTTCCAAAGTTTAAAGAAAAATATACAAACTTGAATGACATTTTGAAAATTTCTCAAAACCTGGCTCCAATAAGCCCTTCCAATATTGGCTCCTACTACTCTTCTCAAAACAGGCAGCACAACTGGATCACAATTTACAAACTGTTTCTCCTACTTTCCCCTTTCTTTGTTCGTGTTTTTTCTACTTGTGGTATGTTATGCCCATTGTCCCATGCCATATACGAATGGCATTGTTTCCTCTAAAAAGGCTTTCCCATGTTAATACAAAGAAAGAACATATCATAACTATTCATACTTTTCTAGTTGAACTTATCATATATTCTTTGAGGGTGTTAACTATATCCTTGGATAGTCATAGTTAAGCCCTGATTTATTTTATTATAAATTCAGTAATAACACTACTTCTTGCATAATTGTTATAAGCAAACAGTGTATTTCAAACCCTTGGATAATGGTCAGCACTAAAACATTATTAAACATTGTTGTTCATTATACTATTCTACCCTTCTATTCATTCTGCTTTGTATAGTACAGGCATTCCAAATTAAACAAGCGAGATAAGTAACAGTAATAAGGAAAACAAAGCAACTTTGGAACAACTCATGTAGCATTTATTTTATGCCTGGACTTGTGGGAATAGCTATGAAAACCAGTATTAACATATATTTTCTTTGTTCTAATCCCAAAATATTTACTTTAGAAATAATTTCTAAACGCTTATACCATTTCAAAAATATAGAATTCACTGTTCTGCCTATAATTTTTTGTCATATAATTTTTTGTCATAATTTTTTGTCTCTTTTTTTAGTAGTTTCAAACATATACTCACTGCTTTCAATTTAAATCTTAAGATAATGCACTTTTTCATATAAGATTTTGATTCTTTATACACTCAGTTTCTGACAATTTTAAAAACAAAGTAAACAAAATAGTCAATTTATAATGGTAATACAGCCTATAATAATTGAGACACAACACTCCCATTTAAAAATGAGGTAACTAAACAAAATAAAGGTATGGTCCATCTACAACTAAAAAAAAAATTTAAAAATGTGATATAAAAGAACTGATGGACTTTTTTCTTTTTGTATATAATGAGATTGTGTGATATTCATTTTACTTAACAAATAAACCTTATCCTCCTCATTCTTCATTTTAAAACCAAGTATTCCACACTGCTAAACTAAAACGGTTCCACTGAAGTTATCTGATGCTTCTTAGGTCAATCAGCTGCCACACTGGAAAGCAAGATTGCACTTCCATCCAAAGATTCCAATAAAGGATAGATATAGGAACTGCATATCAACACTGCTTTTAGGATAACAACTAAACAGTGTTTGGTTTCATTTTTCTCATAATGGTACTGGAATCTCTTGATAATTTAGGCTTTCATGCGTTTTTCTTCACTCACTGCAATAACTGGGATCTCCAGAATGATGTTTAACGGGAATAGTTGGAGCAGACATCTTGGCCTGTTCCCAATCTTAACAGAAAGCACTTAGTCTTTTACTATGAAGTATAATGATCAATTCTAGGGTTTTAGGGGCAGTTACCTTTAATACCTAGTTTGCTGAGCATTTTTATCATAAACTGGTGCTAAATTTTGTCAATTTTTTTTTCCGCGTCTACTAGCAAGAGCATTTTTTTTTAAGTTTGCTGATATGGTGAATTATATTGATAATCAGATAATGAGTTAGCCCTAAATTCCTCTTCATGACCACACAACTTGGTCATGAATATTATTCTTTTTACTTATTGCTAGATTTACTAGCATTTTGTTTAGGGTTTTTTGTTTATATTAATTAAAGTTATTCCTTCCTTCCTTTCCATGCTTTTTTCTTCTTCTAATGGATTTATCTGGCATCAGGGTAATGCTTCATGAAATAAACTAAGAAGGGTTTCTTTTATTTTATGGAAGTTTATACAAAATTTGTACTGTTTCTTCCTTTGAGAGAATACACCAGTGAAGACATCTGAGCCTGGAGATTTCTTTTAATTTAATCTCTAACAGATACATGAATATTAAAGTTATCTATTTTATTCTTAAATGAAGTTTCAAGAAATTTGTTTCACATAAATTGTCAAATATAATGAAATATAGTTTGTTTATAATATTCCATTTATTATCTATACTGATATCACCATTCTTTATTGCTGATATTGGTAGTTTGTGTCTTTTTTCTTGATCAGTCTGGCTAGAGATTTAACAATCTTAAATCTTTTCATAAGACCAGGTTTCAGTTTCATCAGTTTTCTCCATTATTTTCAGTTTTCTATTTCTCTGGATATCTTTATAGTTGAAGACAATTCTTCAGATTCCTTCTTCCTGCTTGGTTTATATTTAGTTTGTTCTTTCTCTGTTTCTTCAGGTAGAAGCTTAAACCATTAAACTAAGACATTTTTCTAATATAACATGTCATGCTACAAATTTCCTTCTAAGCTCTACTTTGCATCCCACATATACAATATTTCGTTTTCATTCAATACAAAATACTGAGTTCCATTATAGCAGATAGATTACTGATAAACGTGTTTATTTTCCCAGTACTTGTGAATTGTTCAGATTTTTATTATTTATTTCTAATTTGTTATGGTCAACAACATTTTGTTTAAAATTACTATTGTTTTAAAACTTTTTACTTTTTTTTTA